TTGTGTTTCCTTATCAATTTTCTGTTTGGATGATCTGTCCATTGGTGTAAGTGAGGTGTTAAAGTGCCCCACTATTATTGTGTTATTGTTGATTTCCTCTTTTATAGCTGTTAGCAGTTGCCTTATATATTGAGGTGCTCCTATGTTGGGTGCATATATATTTATAATAGTTATATCTTCTTCTTGGATTCATCCCTTGATCATTATGGATTGTCCTTCCTTGTCTCTTGTAACATTTATTTTAAAGTCTATTTTATTTGATATGAGTATTGCTACTCCAACTTTCTTTTGATTTCCATTTGCGTGGAATATCTTTTTCCATCCCATCACTTTCAGTCTGTATGTTTCCCTAGGTCTGAAGTGGGTCTCTTGTAGGCAGCATATATATGGGTCTTGTTTTTGTATCCATTCAGCAAGTCTGTGTCTTTTGGTTGGAGCATTTAATCCATTCACGTTTAAGGTAATTATCAATATGTATGTTCCTATTACCATTTTCTTAATTGTTTTGGGTTTGTTTTAGTAGGTCCTTTTCTTCTCTTGTGTTTCCCACTTAGAGAAGTTCCTTTAGCATTTGTTGTAGAGCTGGTTTGGTGGTGCTGAAGTCTCTTAGCTTTTGCTTGTCTGTAAAGCTTTTGATTTCTCCATCGAATCTGAATGAGATCCTTGCTGGGTAGAGTAATCTTGGTTGTAGGTTCTTCCCTTTCATCACTTTAAGTATATCATGCCACCCCCTTCTGGCTTGTAGAGTTTCTGCTGAGAAATCAGCTGTTAACCTTATGGGAGTTCCCTTGTATGTTATTTGTCATTTTTCCCTTGCTGCTTTCAGTAATGTTTCTTTGTCTTTAATTTTTGCCAGTTTGATTACTTTGTGTCTCAGTGTGTTTCTCCTTGGGTTTATCCTGTATGGGACTCTCTGCGCTTCCTGGACTTGGGTGGCTATTTTCTTTCCCATGTTAGGGAAGTTTTCAACTATAATCTCTTCAAATATTTTCTCGGGTCCTTTCGCTCTCTCTTCTCTTTCTGGAACCCCTATAATGCAAATGTTGTTGCATTTAATGTTGTCCCAGAAGTCTCTTAGGCTGTCTTCATTTCTTTTCATTCATTTTTCTTTATTCTGTTCTGCAGCAGTGAATTCCACCATGCTGTCTTCCAGGTCACTTATCTGTTCTTCTGCCTCAGTTATTCTGTTTATTTCTTCTAGTGTATTTTTCATTTCAGTTATTGTATTGTTCATCTCTGTTTGTTTGTTCTTTAATTCTTCTAGGTCTTTGTTAAACATTTCTTGCATCTTCTCAGTCTTTGCCTCCATTCTTTTTTCCAAGGCGTTGGATCATCTTCACTATCATTTTTCTGAATTCTTTTCCTGGAAGGTTGCCTATCTCTGCTTCATTTTGTTGTTTTTCTCTCGTTCCTTCATCTGGTACATAGCCCTCTGCCTTTTCATCTTGTCTGTCTTTCTGTGAATGTGGGTTTTGTTCCACAGGCTGCAGGATTGTAGTTCTTGCTTCTGCTGTCTGCCTTCTGGTGGATGAGGCTATCTAAGAGGCTTGTGCAAGTTTCCTGATGGGAGGGACTGGTCGTGGGTAGAGCTGGCTATTGCTCTGGTGGGCAGAGCTCAGTAAAACTTTAATCCACTTGACTGCTGTTGGGTGGGGCTGGGTTCCCTCCCTGTTGGTTGTTTGGCCTGAGGCAACCCAACACTGGAGCCTCCGTGGGCTCTTTGGTGGGGCTAATGGCAGACTCAGGGAGGGCTCATGCCAAGGAGTACTTCCCATAACTTCTGCTGCCAGTGTCCTTGTCCTCTCAGTGAGACAGAGCCACTCTCTCTCTCTGCAGGAGACCCCCCAACACCAGCAGGTTGGTCTGGTTCAGTCTCTATGGGATCACCGCTTCTTCCCCTGGGTCCTGATGCACACACTACTCTGTGTGTGCCCTCCAGGAATGGAGTCTCTGTTTTCCCCAGTCCTGTCGAAGTCCTGCAGTCAAATCCCGCTAGCCTTCAAAGTCTGATTCTTCAGGACTTCCTCCTCCCGTTGCCGGACCCCCAGGTTCAGAAGCCTGACGTGGGGCTCAGAACCTTCACTCCAGTGGGTGGACTTCTGTGGTATAAGTGTTCTCCAGTCTGTGAGTCACCCACTCACCAGTTATGGGATTTGATTTTACTGTGATTGCGCCCCTCCTACCGTCTCATTGTGGCTTCTCCTTTGTCTTTGGATGTGGGGTATCTTTATTGGTGAGTTCCAGTGTCTTCCTGTCGATGACTGTTCAGCAGTTAGTTGTGATTCTGGTGTTCTCGCAAGAGGGAGTGAGAGCACGTCCTTCTACTCTGCCATCTTGAACCAATCCCCTACGTGTAAATTAGTTTGATTCTTTAGTTTCTACAGTAACAAGTGATTTCAGCATATATATCCAGCCAGTGTAAAACAACCTTGTGGTCATCATTTTTATGGTAATACAAGAAGCAAACACTGAGAATGAGAGAATTGAATGAAAATGCTTGGTTTTTTAATTTCTGGCCTCTGAGGTTATATCAGCAGTCTCAGCCCACTTATCCTACATATAATAGGAATTCTAATAAATAAGGTGGGAATATTTATGTCGAGGATCCTGGACCAAGACTGGGTTATATGGTTTCTGGGTGTAGATAGCTGGTGTGTGGGGCAGCTCACCCAGTGATAACCATTTCTGAGTCAGGGAGCTAACAAACCTGCATGAAGTAGAATTGGATTAGCTGCCAATTTGTTAGTTTACAATGCCACTTCTCTTTTTTTATTTTGTTAAGTAGGTAAGATATGCACATAGTAAAAACTAAATTCAAAAAGTAGGAAAAGGGTATATAATGAAAAATGTCTACCGTCCCATGGCCCCCAATTTCCCTCTCTAGAGGCAACCTTGAATGTCAGTTTCTTGAGTTTTCCCAGAGAACTCTATACATTTACAAACAGGTGTATATGTGCGTGTGTGTGTGTGTTTGTATCCCTTAACACACTCTTCTGTACCTTTTTCGCTTATATATCTTTTGTTTTAAAGTGTTTCTCTTTATTTTATTAGCTTTAAAAACCTAGTGTGTTTTGTGTTTTGGGATAAATGCTGGGTGTATAATGACTAGTAAGTTCTTCTTAAAATTAATAACTTTTATTAATAATAATTTTAATTGGAGTATAGTTGATTTACGTTGTGTTAATTTCTGCTGTACAGCAGTGATTCAGTTACATATATATATATATATATATATATATATGTATTCTTTTTTTTAATCTTCTTTTCCATTATGGTTTATCATAGGATACTGAATATAGTTCTCTGTGCTATATTCAGTGGTTTTTCATCTTAAACTTCTAGGCTCATCTGCTTTGGAGTCAGTAGTGGTCTCTGCTCTGGTTACCATGACTGACCATAAATGAGTATAAAGTGTTTTGTAGATAGAATACTCTATAAAGCTACCAGTGATATTCCATCCCTAGATTTCCTAATGTACCACTAATGAGTCATTTGTAAGAAGTGTTGATTGATTTGTGTGATCTATGTCCAGCAAATATACAGTGAGCATGAGGTGTGGGGTTTTGTTTTCTTTTTAAGAAACTCTTGAAAAGTGCTTCATGTTTTACATGTGTTTATATCCATCAGATGCTTCTCATTTAATCCTGTGAATAGCCTGGTCACTGCTTTAGCCAGCAATGCGTTCTTTATTTACCATCATCCTTTTGTTCTCTATTTCCATGTGCCTTCTAATCAAAGAAACTCAAAGTAATCATCAGCTATTTGTGGTACTAGAATGTGTTAAATATTTTGTAATCCTGAAAGGCTAGTGTAATTGGAGGAGGAAGTGTGAGTTGAGATTAATTAGAGAAATGCTGTTAGAAAACAGTAGATACAGTTTTTGTTTTTACCTCTTCAACAATGTTAGGGATTGTTAATGATTGCAATCGGGTTTAGTAAATTCTGGTAATTTGATATGTTCTATGAATAATACATAACAGATTTAGGGTAATTCCCTCACTTTCTGCGGTTTCTGCAGATAAATATTTTTACTTAACAAATATTTTTATTAAAAATATTTTCCTGGTAACTTCAGGGTTAGAATAATTGCTACTCATTATCATCAGTGGGCATGATATACTTATTAGTCTAAGGGGAGATGTTTTAGGTTTCTAAATAGGGTATCATTTTTTCCTCATTGATTCTGTTTTCACCTTCAAATTAAAATTATTGAAGCTTTGTATACAAAGAGCATTAATAAAATTATTTGGAGTGGGGTGCATTTCTCTAAACATTCCTGTAAGAAAAAGAACAGTGTCCTTATTCAAAGATTTCACTATAGATTGGGTTAATAGGCTATTTATTGGCTTATCTGGGATCCTAGCCACTATTAATGATACACTTGTAGGTAAAATTTTTTTCTCTGTTCCAAAAAAGTCATGTATTTTTTTTAGAAAACTCTTGACATGAAACTCATTCTAAAATTGAGGACTATTTCTATTTTAAGTGTTTCTCCAGGAATTACACAGCAGATAATTTTTATTTTATGCTTGAGGGCTGTTATTAACCAGTCTTAAAATATGTAATTTTTAGTTACACTTAACGTTTCTTACATTTTTTTCTTAGATTTTAACTTCTCTTTAAAGTTAAAGAATGAGTCTAGATTTTGTCTTAATTTGCTATATTTTACCTATCCCTCAATATGCCAGGAGTGTGACTCAGGGGAAAGAAACCTTTAAATTATAGTGGTAAAAATTGTTTCTGTGCTTTGGAGTAATCCACCAAAAAGATAAAGCAAATAAACTGGTAATCATCCAGCAAGAGAACCTTTTCCTATCTACTCCACAAAACCTGCGTGAAGATCTGACAGATGTGTGAAGCTTTGTGGAAGTTCTTCAACTACCACTGAGAAGAGATGCAATTCCAGAGTTGATACTCATGAAAGAGAACACCCAGAATATCCATCTGATGTGACTCACTGCTGCTCTTATGAAACTAAAATGTTTGTGTTTTTATTTTAGTGACATTGTATGCCTCCTGTATTCTCCTGGGAGTGTTCCTCAATAGCAGTATACCTATATTTTTTGAGCTTTTTGTGGAAACTGTCTACCCAGTTCCAGAAGGAATTACTTGTGGAGTTGTCACTTTTTTAAGTAATATGTTCATGGGAGTACTTTTGTTTTTTCTCACATTTTATCACACAGGTAAGAAATTTGACTTTTTATTTACTATCTAAATGTGTTAGGAGAGAGCTTTGTGGCACTGATGTATAGGGAATTTATATGGAGAATTCCCACTAAGGCAAATTACTTTATTTGAGCTTTCACATGCGAAGAAAATATCTTCTGTTGCTTTTCTTGAAAGGCATCCAGCCTGATGGAATGCATCCTCACTGCCCCCCCCACCAAAGTTTCTGATTTAATTAACTTGGAGGAGGGGGGGGGTGGCAGCATTTCTACTTTTAAAAGCCCACCAGCTGATTCTAATATGCTGGTTCTCATTGAGAACCACTGATATCTTGCTTTTAAAAAAAAAAACTTCAACTCTACTGTCTTAACATTAGGTAGAAATTAAGGTCAGGGGTATATATGTAGTTTAAAGCTTTGCAGATGAATGAGAGATCACCCAAAGAGTGGATCACCTGTATAGGACAGCTCTGTCCAATGGAACATTTTATGATAACAGAGGTGCTCTTTATCTATGCTGTCCAGCACAGTAGCCACTATCCCATGAAGCTAATGCAGCTAGGGAACTGGATTTCTCATTTTCATTTTGATTAATTTGTTTACATTTAAATTGCTATATGTGGCTACCAAATTGGTCAGTGCAGGTATAAGAGTGAAAAGAAGGTTGCAGTTAGAACCCAGGGGTACACCTTTAAAGAAGGGGGACGTCCTTACAAAGGAAGAAGGGTTGGGTTCCTGAACCCAAGTAGAGGAGTCAGCCTTGGACGAAAGGAGGTGGAGATAAGGCCGTGTGTGTAGCATAGAAGCAGAGGCCTGTGCTGAGCACATTGTTGAGGGAGCTCCTTCTTGATGGCACCAACTTTCGGCTTAGAAGCCAGTTCATCTATGAAGAGTTGGTGGGAAGGTAGTGGAGAAGGGGCTTAAAGAGAGAATGAAACTTTAAAATAGCTTTTGAGGGGGTGGGAGGAGATGCTGCAGGGACAGCTGGAAAGCTTGCTGGGCATATTGAAGGCAGGCCCCACTGGTGTTGAGGTCTACGGGTTTGTAGTGGCTCTGTTTTGCAGTTGTTTGGTTTTCTCTGATATCCTCTTTTCTGTGGTCCAAATTCTGTCTCACTATTTTAGAAAATTGGGGCACAATTATCTAGACTTCTTTTTTACATGTTAAAATAAGGATTTATACTTATTTTATACATCTAGACTTTTAAAATTTTATACTTGTGAGTCTTAAATATAAATCTTTTATTAATTTCTACTAGGTTTATATCCCATTTTATTTCCTTGTCTTAAATAATTGAATATTACTACTTTTTTTTCTGGTTGCTGTTTTCTTAACTATTCATCAGATACAGTAAATTTGGATAATTTGTACATGGAAGAATCTAATTTATAAGACTTAAATGTAAGAAATGCTCTAAAATGTGACCCTCCAAGAGACCTAATTGTCTCTAGGAATTCTGACAGGCTTATAATTGAAATAGTAGCCATGATAACCTCCTTGACTGGAAAAAAAATTTTTGAAACGTTCAAAGCTGATGAAACAATCTCCCTGGGTTTTGGACAGCTTTTGACATAGCACTTTCACCTAACAGCAAAGAGCATCCAAATGATATATTAATTTCGTAATATAATTAACAACAAACTAGATCATTTCTGTCCATCAGTAATACAGGTAGAGAAGGTTTCAACTTTGCTAAACCTGATATACGTTTGGTTTATCCTATGAAAGAGAGTGACATTTTCGAAGGCAAGTGATATTAATAAAGTCAGACCACTCTTCACTGTCCTCCTGGAAACGTGTTTCCATTAGGGAAAATGCCATCACCAGGTATGTGGTCTTTGCCTTCAATTAGTTTTCTAAACAGAATCACCTAACAGTTATTACATTATCAGCTTTAACCCACTTCAGCTGTGTCATAGTTGAAACTAGGAGGCTCAGTGCCTCTCTTTTTTTGCCTGGTAAAGTATCAGAGATGGCTGTTGCCCTTAGAGTGGTAGCAACGGTTTTCCAGCTCATGGACACAGGTGGGCTGAATGGTCCTTGCAGCCCGGCTGAGCATGGTTTCTCCTGTTGGGTGGAAATTGTTTTGTCTTCCCAGCATTTAAAAACAACAACAGTAGATGCCAGATCATGTTATCCCCGAATAGACCTCTTGCACGTGGTCTATAGAGTATAACAAACATGTATTTGTTGGTCCGTTTAAAGCAGGAACTACCCCTGTGCTGTCTGACTGTGGAGGAGCCCAGTGCACTCCTACCATTGTGCTCGGCAAGCAGAGTGTCTCTATCACTCTCCTGGGTCTTGAGTGTGCAGCTTCCAATTTGTTCAACAGAGACTGGTGTCTGTACATCAGTCAGTGCTCACTCCTCATCTTGCAGATTTATAGTGACCAGATACAAGCAGACATTTTTGGTTCTTTGGCACAGGCAGTGGAAGAAACAGCACCATTTCTGCTAATTTCTATCTCACTGATATAATCAAGGATTTATCTAGCTGGGGGGAAAAAGCTTCCCTCTTCTGGGTTGGTTTCTGATCATATGTTCTTATACATATCTATGTAGATATTAAAGGTTTCTGCCTAAACTCCATGAGTATTGTGAAAAATAAAACTTTAAATAAAAATTAATCGAACAGGATGGTTTTCAGGACAAAAAAAACCTCAGTGTGTTTTGACATTTTAGAGTTAATGAGAAGATGAATGTGAAAGAGCTTAGACCAGGGCACAGCTGGCACTCACCAAACGTTTTGTTTCCTTCTGGATAATTAGCTGGTGATGATAGGAATTTAAACATCTAGGCTTCTATTTTAAAGAAATGCTTTTATGTGCTTATTTGTCAGTGCATATAATGAATACACACAAACATACCCCACAACTCTCTAAGGCTAAAAGGTTCCTAGAACTATGAAAACTCTGTTGAGATTCTTTCACTTATAGTTAGTTGATCTCGCCCCAAAAGTCCCACAGCAAAAGTCCACATGCCTTATAGCTGAGGTATGATGATACCTAAATTACAAATCTGAAAACTATATAAAATTATTTCCTAAATTTTTAGTTCCGCAGCCCAGTCTGCTAAACATTTTATATAATGAATTCCCTTCCATTAGAGCCAGTGTTTGAATGTCATAATTCAGTCATTTTAAACTTGAAAAACTCACCCAGAAGTTAGTTATGTGTCAGAATTCAACTACTAGTGACATGATTGGAGGGCTTGATTTTTAATCATCATAAAGATAGGCGGTTTTTTAGGTCACTTCTCAAGGAAGTACTCAACTTCCTGACTAGAGTTTTTGGTTTCCCACCATGTGCTATCTGGTAGATGACTATATCAGATATGGCTTTTCAGGGCTGTACAGACTAACCCCAAAATGACCACATTAGAGTGCCTTGCCTGGCAAGATAGGATCCACTGGTGATTTGCTTGTTGATTATGGCCATTGCCATCATTGATGGCGAATGTCACACAGGCTTCTATACCAATGCCACTGGCCTATTTAGAGCCCTGGGTCACAGAGTTTCCCATGTCCTGTGTTGACTCTGCTTTGGGAACCTGGACCATGTCAAAGAGTTCTTGGAGTTTTTCTGACTTGGGTTTTTTAAGGTCACTTTGAGAAAAAGTTACTTGCTCCTTAATATAAGCACATTTGCAAAACTGAGTTGCTTCCTATGATGTTTGCTTTGTGAATCTCAGCGAGTATTTCAGACAGCACAGTGATGTTTTATTCTAATAACTTCACGTACAAAATCAATTTGGAAATGCCGTTGTATGCTTTATATGCTCTGAAATGTATTCTAATGTTCTGTTTTACAGTTTGTACCTTGTTTTGTAGTTTGTATTGGCTGTTATTTTTTGTTGTTGTTGTTTTTCTAGAAGGTTTGCAGCAAGTTTTGGCTAAAAACATGAAAGGTTTTACCTCAGTCCTTTCATTTTGAAGTAGCCAACCATGAATTGGAGGCTGCATTGTGTGCTGAGGAGGGAGGTATTGTCTAGTGGTTACCAGGAGAACAGGTTCAACAGATGTGGACTAGTGAAAAGTAATTTTATATCTAAGAAGTAAAATAATGCAATGTGCTGGTCAAAGCGATTGGATAATTAACCTGGAGTGAAGGGAGCGGGGCATCACACTGAAATTGTGGTGTCAGCTGGCTTCTCTTGAGAGAGAATGGAGACAATTTTGTTAAATTACCATAATTTTGGTTAAATCACCAAAGAAACTAGAAGTTTGGTTCTGGAAGATAGTGTCTGGAACCAGACGAGTACTTGAAGCCAAAAGTGTGACATCACTGCAGGGAAAGATGAGGTGAAAAGTAGAATGGTCCTTCATCCTAATTAGCTCAGCTCCAGCAGAGCCTCACCATTTGGTGCAGAGCTCTGAGTAAACTATAGCACCTGCCTCACTGGAAATTGCCAGAGTCCTCAGGCTGAAGCACAGGAGATGACAGAGAGCCAGCAGAAATGTAGAGGCAAGTCATGGGGGCTTGCAGTATGGATTTATAGTTCCTCTAGTGAAAGGCAAAGGGAAGGAATGTTGGAAAACTGTGCTCACTTTAAAGGCTAAAAAAGAAAATTGCGATGGGTAAGGACTCTGTTGGTTTAATTACGTCACGGCACTGGGCTCCAAAGGACCACAGCCAACTTTGCTCTGCCAAGTCAGACTGAGTTTTTTGGGGGTTTTTTTGCGGTATGCGGGCCTCTCACTGTTGTGGCCTCTCCTGTTGCGGAGCACAGGCTCCAGACGCGCAGGCTCAGCGGCCATGGCTCACGGGCCCAGCCGCTCCGCGGCATGTGGGATCTTCCCGGACCGGGGCACGAACCCGTGTCCCCTGCATCGGCAGGCGGACTCAGCCACTGCGCCACCAGGGAAGCCCCCAGACTGAACTTTTAAGCAAGCCATTTCCTGCACATTAGAGCCCCTTAGGTGTGGTTTATGTGAATGGTTTTCAGTGGGGACATGCAGAGATTTCCATCCCTGACCTTTTTCTCTCTAAAAAGGCAAAAATTTCAAAGAACACTGGTAGTTGGTTAAGCCAGGTGAACTTAGTGAAGGGTGGATTTGATTTCTCAGAGAGAGGCACAATAGTGAAAAACAACCAACCAACAAACCAAGACACTAAAGAGCAATTTTGAGTTATTTTTAGAGATTTCATCTGAACCCAGGTAGAAGGAATCGTTTTACAATTCTGATGAAATAAAGGTCTGCTTTGGCAATATTTGACTAATTTCTAGGTTTAAGGAGAGCTAGGACAAGTTGATTGTTGCTGCATGTGTGTTGCTGTAGCTCCCAGTGAAATAGTCTCTAAAGTTTAGGAAACATCTTTGTTGTAGACTTCAAGTGCCGTACTTTCTTTTAGCTATTGCTTAAAATGCGACCTTAAAGTAAAAAACGCTCACTTTTAGTATAAACAGTATGCTGTTATCTCTATTTTACTACTTTTTCTTTTCGTATTTTTTCACTGCTTCTTTTTGCTTGTTAAAACTATCATCAGAAATCCAGAGGCTTTATGGTTAATATAAAAGCAGAAAATGCTTGGTGCGTCATTTCAGGGAATATTAGAATAAAGACAAGATCCCAGAGATCACAGCGTTTCTGAGTGTTTAGATTCTAGTCAGTCCAAGTAAAGGACAGAAAACAGCTTTGCATGATAATACCATTGAAATATACGTCTTTGTTCTGTGCTATAGAATAGCATGTCTGACTTTGAAAATGCAGAAATTGAGAGGTTAGGGAGGCTGCTTTTGCGAACATATTATAGGAGAAAAAAGGTACTTCAGCACCTTTCCTTACTAGTTGGTTTTCTGATTTCCATTCCTGAGCATAAATTGCTCTTTTAGCCGTATGAATTATGGATTAATCTAAAGCAGCAGCATAGAAACCTTTAGGATGATTTTTGAAGATTAAGGCAGTATTAGCATTCTGTAGAAGCACAGAGGGAAAATATAAACTTATAGCCGTGCCCAAAGGAAAAAATGGACCAGGGAACGTGTTTCCTTCACTTTTTGTTGTGTTTTTATTTTTTTCATTGAAATTGCTAAATGGCTATTAAACTGGAGAAGTTATCCCCCCCGCCCCCGCCACCAGCCCCTTTATGCCAAGAAGCTGCTCACTTCTGCACGGAAGCCTCAAGTCTGACTGACAGAGGGGGTTGGGATAGAAGGAAGCTGAACAGATGCCCGGCTCCAAGGCCCCCGGAGCCAGAGGAAGCAGCTAGAGACAGCACAGTCGGCAGGGCAAGCATGTGTGTTTGGGTAGCAGGAGGCCCAGGATTGGCCTGTTGGAGAGTCCTGAATTCGTGAATGAGCATTTTTGAAGAAGCATGTTCTCAATTCCATTAAATCAAAAAACAACATTATTTGAATTGCCTGTTTAGATGATTCCTGTAAATCGTCTGGTAATTGTCATCATACATAACCATTATGTTAGTAGGAAAAAAAGACTAGAAAGAAACCAAAGTATTCACAGTAGTTTCTCTGAGAGTAGAATTTAGGATTCATTTTTTACATTTTACTTATTTTATATATATATATGTATGTATGTATGTATGTATGTATTTTCTACTCTGTTTTACAGCGATTACTACTTGACTTTTTGCTGAGAATTAGATATCTCTTTCCAAAAAAATTTAAAAGTGTTATCTCAAAATTCAGGCGACTTTCTTGTCTTTCTAATCCATCAGATATTTCTAAACAAGGACAAGAGTGATGGTGATAGGGGGCACTTTAAAAACAATTAAACTAACATTTAAAGGTGATTGCTTTTTCTTTCTTTGAAGTAATAGATTTTTTTTTTTTTGGCCACCAAAGTCAAGTTGGGTTAAATTGATGAAAAGTCATTAACAATACTGATTAAAAATATTCCACAGGAAAGCCCTGTAACATATTACATGCGTCACTTAGACTCCACATTTGTCACTGTTTATTGAAATCCGGTTTTCAGGCCTTCCAGGGCGCATTTATTATAAGTGCTTTTGAATGCAAAGCAGGTTGCTCCCAGCATACAGGTGGTGTTCTGCTGGTGACACATGAATGCTTACAACTGCATGTTTTTGTCTTACAGAGTTGTCTTGGTTCAACTGGTGCCTTCCCGGGTCGTGTTTGCTCAGTCTCCTCCTTATTCTGTGCTTCAGGGAATCCTATGACAGACTCTATCTTGATGTGGTTGTCTCAGTTTAATAGCACAGACTTGAAGGAGTTTTTGAAAAGAGACTGGAAATCAATACTGCATACTGCACATTTGCTTGGAATTGCACATCTAACAGGAAAAAAAAAGGAGAAGAGAGAAACTTCTTTCAGAGGTTTTGTTAGGTTACAGATGATCACATTAATTTAATTACTGCTAGGTAATAATAATGTGGAACTTGAGTGATAATAGTGTATTTAAAAACTGTATCAATGGCATACGTGTGCCTGAGTCTGGGGTTAGAAGTGTGATGTCTTACACAGAAAGCACTGCCTAGGTAATTCCCTCTATGTTTTGTGCCAGTGCTAAACTACTGATTAATTGTAACTATGAAAAGAAATAAAGGGTGTCTATTACATGAAGATAACTCCTTCCCTAAGCCACATATCAGAAAAGGAAGAAATGCCACTAACTTCTAAAGAAGTTTAAAGCCTATATCAGATTTTAATTATAAAATAGCCAAGAGGTGTATCATTGATAGATATTAGCCACCTGTACTCTACGTTTTTTTCTAATAAAGCCATTTCTTATATGACTCCTTATTTTTAATTAGATCAGAAACCTTTGGCCACCTTAATTATGGTGATCAAGTGCTTTCCAGTGACCGCAGAGCACATACTTTGTGTCTCGATCTTAACTTATCCTTGTTTCTGTGAAATACAGTTTCATCTGCTAGGCTCTTAAATGATTATATTAAATGTGACTAAATGTTTAACACAGTCGCATTAAATGCTGTATGAAAAATGTAATTTTGTTCCGATTTAGCACTTTGTTAAAAGTGAAAATGACAAATCCCATAGAACATCCTGTGTCTTCGGGCAGATATATATGTGGTGGCATGGGATGGAAAATCCAGCACCAGCTGTTGCTTACCAAGGTTGTATTTTATTAAGTGACCCTTGTTTGAAAATAACAATTTATAGCATTGAAACGTTCAGATCTGTTGAGTGATTTCTGAATTACTTTCTTGTATCTCAATTCAGGTTATAAAATATTCAGTTCTATATAGAGTGTATATTTGAGAGGGTAGTATTTTGCCGGTACCTGCCTTCCTTCTGTGGATGACAGCTTTTTCAAAAATAATACCCACTGGACAGCTCTCAGATGTGTATTTCACTATGACATAAAATATGCTCTGGTGGGGTTATGATATTACCACTATTCAGATTTACATAATTCCCCTCATGCTGGAAAATCAAACACTTCCTCAAAAAGTCAAGAATGATGTTTTATCTTCATTGTTCTCAGCTTCCTCCAACCCCCTCTCCTTTTCTACTCACTTGAAATTGTATCTTCATTGTCAGCTAAATATATATTTTATTTGTCTTCTTCTGGATAGCAGAGTGTAAGGCAGCTCCTTCTATTAGCCAAGGTGGTGAACTATGGTTAAGGGGACCTGGTCAGCACTTAATTGACTCATCTCCATACATTCGCTCACACCATCACACACAGTCCCAGATACCCCTCCTTTCCCCCCTTGGTAAGTTGAAGGCTATGCTTTTACTAACCTCGGTCCTAGAGGAGGATGCTGTTACCGTCAGGCCTTCTAAGATCCGAAATTGTGCAACCTGGAAAGTAAGAAAACCCTCAAATTTAACATCTGTCTTCAGTCACCTTTAGACCATCCCCCTTTATAACCACCCTGCTAATAACTTAGCAGCCAGAACTGAAAGAACTGAGGAACTTGCTGAAGAGAAGAAAACCTGTGAAAGCTAGGCTTAGTTCCTGTCAACTCTGTCATTCTTCTCAAATAAAAATAAAAGGAAAGCAAAGCAGAATTCTTAAGGATAATTGAAAGCCAGCCAGTCCAGGTATCAATAGTCCATGACCCAGGTGCTAAAATAACCACCACGCCTTCCTGTTTAGAATGAATCTAGAAAGGTGAGGGAAGAATTATGATGCATTTGGTTTTAGTCAGAACTGTTGTGTTTGAGGACACTCCTATATAAAATTTTGCTATAAGACTTCTCATACAGAGCATTTTAATTACAGTTAATTCTACTTTTAACACATAGTGAAAAATAACGTTAAAAAATATTACCTAAATGACTGATTAGTTCAAAGACAGACCAAATGGGTAGTGATTTTAAATTCTTGCATTGTACCAGGCACCAACCACTGTTTTTAGCATACGTGAGATGAGATGAGAGGTGTCCATTTGTCTCATTTACAAATCCGCTTAACCCCTCCAGCAGATAATTGTTCTAACCACAAGCTGCAGCTGTTTTAAATGATCAAGATTTCATATACCAAACCTGATAGAACGAGAACCAAAATCTTCTAGGGGTAGGGGGAGGATTACACATTATTTACTTACCTATATTTTTCATAATTTCTTTTTTTACTTTTGTATTTCTCACATGCATCAAAAGACCAGCCATAATCTTTGCACTTTATAAACGAACATTAAAGAGTCCTAATGAATTTTATAATTGAAAAAAATCTTAACCCTCTACTAATCCAAGCACTCATTTTAGAATTTATAGGAACAGCCCCAGAGAGGTAAAGGATCTTGCCAAAGGTCACAATCCTAGTTAATGACAAAAGTAAAACTAACTAAAACCCACATCTTCTGACTCCCAAAGCAGTCTTTTTTTCTCTACCTCAGAGAATTGCAGCTTAATTTGGACATTTTGGGGTGTTCGTGAATACTCTTTCATGTTCAAAAACGATGGGGCTTAAGAGTAAGATACTGTTAAAATTAGGTGATTGCTTGATTTCTAAGTAAAATCCGTCTTTTTTTCTTCATCGCTATCCCGCTGGTGCTCTAACACCTCTAAGTCTTAGCTTGCAGTGAGTGATGCGATCTGAAAAGTTTCTGATGACTAATTCAATCCTCACAAACCAAGTCAACAGCATTATTAATTGGTAAGGACATGTTATAGTGTAAGTTCCCTGTGGCTTATCAGTGAATATTTCACAGTTTATGGGAAGAAGCATTTTTTAATATGGTCCCTGGTGGAGATATAGAACAGATAATTACATACACAAATGCATTTCACTGGAGGGTAGAGCTAATAAAATAACAAGAGGGAGTCAAGCACCATTTTGTAATATTTAAGCATATATGGCCTAAGGGCCACGTTTTATCATAGTTCATACATTCATGTTTAATTATTGAGAATGTTTACAGCTTGCCTTTCTAATGAGGGATTCAAGCGAAGAGATTTTAAATTGAGGAGATTAAATTCTCATCTACTCATCTTTTAATTCTTTTTTTTTTTTTTTTTTTTTTTTTTTTTTTTTTTTTTTTTTTTTTTTTTTTTTTTTTTTTTTTTTTTTTTTTTTTTTTTTTTTTTTTACTATTTTTACTAAAATCTAGGCATTCATCTTGCTGTTTGCATAAGTACAAGCTTCACTTTATACTCAAGATCAAATGCAAGTGCATAGTAGATGTTTTAACTTAATGTTAAAAACCACATTTGTCCCAGAAACAATAAGTACAGGAATTACTGTGATTATACCATATTATCAAGCAAGTGCAAAAGCTGTGACATGAAGAAAGTGTCCTATTAAAAAACAAATATATAGAAAACTATGAGGAAATTTCATCAGACCTATTTCATAAATGTAGGAAAAATAGAATTCCACTTTAATTTGTATGATTATAATCATATAGAAAAGAACGAGATAAAGCTTATTTCCATACCGTCAACAGTTTGCTAATCTGCTGGGAAATAAAAACAATACTGACGGGGGAGAGTGTTGGACCATCCCAGAAGAACAAAACTTGACAGGGAAAGTTTTAGGTGCTCTTTTAACAGCATCCATTGGGTAGTTTGTGCTCAATAGTGGTGCGTGTCTGCTCAGTAAGCAGACATCTTGGCCATCCTGAGCACTCATGTCCTTTCAGGTGTCTTCCCGGTTCAGTTGGAACCTCAAACTTAGGAGGTGACCTCTAGGAACTAATACCAAGGCCCTTAAGAGACTCTTGAGGGTGTCACCTCTGGCCAGGGAATGGGAATGATAGAGGCTGTGGGCAGAGAGTACAGGCAATGACATGCCCTAAATCTCTCCCCTGAACCACTTCTCTTTTTATAAATAATTTTAGTTTGCTCTTGGTCAGGACTGAAACATCAGCCCCTTGTTTCACCTGAAGTTTCCTGAGGTTCTTCGCTTGTCCTCACTGCCCTGTACCTCAGCTTTCTGAACACTTGCATGAATCTGCCCTCTGTTCCATCCTGGTCTCCACTTCCTTGAGCTGACTTCCTGGCATAGGCTTCTTTACCCTCAACCCCTCCCTAAGCTCCAGGGCCGAAAACACAGTCTCCTTCCTGCCTAGTAGTAAAGGCATACACCCAGGCTGCCCTCTCATGAACAGGATGCTAGCATGAGCAGAACGTAAACAAATCCAGGCACTCCAGAAAGATTTAACAGTTATTCTCACAGCCAAGTCGTATAAGTTAGAATATTCCCCTGAAATGGGAAGGGAATTACAAAAGTCTCTAACAAGTTTCTCGTGTTATTATTTCTTGTACTTTTATTTTTTATTTTTTTTAAATGCCTTTTGTTTGTTTGTTTGTTTTATTTATTTATTTTTTGGCCAGGAGGCATGCGGGATCTTAGTTCCCCGATCAGGGATCAAACTCGCGCCCCCTGCACGTTGGAAGTGTGGAATCTTAACCACAGGACCACCAGGGAAGTCCCTATTTGTTGTACTTTTAGAATGTGGACTAACTTGCCTCATGTAGTCTTTCTCTTGTGTCTTGGAACCTGGTAGGCCTCAGACAATAGCCTTCCATCTCAGCCAACACTCAAAAAGAGAGCAAAAAGCTGCCCCACCCTAGCTGTTCTGTTCATTCAAGGGAGAATTAATATTTTAAAAACAGCTAAAAAATGAAACAAAACATGAAATTCATTTCAGCAACCTTGGAAAAATGATAAAAACACATCAAACCATTTTAGCTCTAAACATGCTACATTTGGTACATTGCGAGGCCTGGGGCTCCAGAAGGGATGCCAGAAGATCAGCCCTACAGCACAGCGCTCTTGGGGTTCCACCAGGCTCTTCTAGTTTACAAGCGAGGCTTCTGCAGTCTTGATCAAAATGGCAAGAATGACTTGGAGGCACTTCTGATTTACCTTAATGTTAGAAAATGATACTTTTTTAAACTACAATTTAATTTAGACTTCCTCTAGTTCAGATTGGCTTTCTTCCCATTCACCTGAAAGAAGTGTAGAATCAGAGATGAGGATTTAATCCAACACCCCATTTTACAAATAAGTAGAGAAGATTTCAGGTTAAATGACAGCTCAGTTTTAGCAGATCACTCGACTCCTACACCAGCATTCTTTCCATAAGTGATCAGTGTGTTAACCAGAAATAATTTAAGTAAAATTTCTTTCAGATTTTTGAAAATTAAAACACGTGAGTGTATACCCATTATAAAATACCAGTACAGAAGTATAAAGTGAAGTCTACCTCCAAACATATGCTGGTTGATCCATTCTCCTTTTCAGAGATAATCCCTATGTGTCCTTTCAGAAAATTTTCTGTTCATTTACCTACATCAAGTATAAAAACAGAGAGAGGATTTAAAATCAAGTCATCTCAGGAACTATTTCTTAAGACCATGTTGGCATTAACACTTGGGCAGGAGTTTCTGAGCTCCTTATTTTTCTCCAAGACAAATCTGTATCAAACGTAGCAGTGGTTAATGGAAACATTTTACAGACCTGGTTATGTGCCATCAAGCTCTATCATATTCTGAAGTTTAAAGGTGAACTTCAATATGCAATATTGGTTTTCTTATTGGAAATATAGACAGTTTTTAATGCTGCCAACTAAGGTCCATGCCCCGTGAGAGAAGAAAATGAATGATCCACCCCCAAAATCCAAACGGATTTTCTTGACAAGGTTTTCTTGGCTGTCCATCTCAGCAGAGGCACGCCATACTGTAGAAAGCAGAAAGTCGA